AACAAAGGAGGCGTAAATTGTGTGATGGTTGTGATTAGTTGATTTAGCCTACAAATTTGAATGTGATTGGTTGATTCGAACTACAACTTAGAAAGCGATTGGCTTATTGAACTGTCCGATAAGAAACTGTCAGATAACAAACTGTCTAATAACAAATTGCCTAATAACAAACTGTTCACTAACAAACGGTCTGGTAACAACGTGGCGGGTGGATTAGTGGAAAATAGGAGTTTTTTCACCAATCACTATCGAGAAAATTGTAATTTCTATGATTAAAGATATACATGAAAAAAATTACTCTGTTTGATGGGTTGAGATAAATTCAGTTTTTAGGTAATTCAGTGCAGAAGAGGGTTAATTCAGTGCAAAGAAGTAACAAACCAGACATTCTGATTGGTCAATAATCAAAGAAACTCACAGATAGTCAATCAAATGCGAGCCTTGGATGTTGCAACATTCGGATACGCTGAAAATTTGCGAGCGAAACAATGGTCGGAATTTTTAGTAGGTTTTCTTTCACCACCGCAACAACAATACAGCAGCTAAAAAACAGCTCTAACAACGCAAACACCATAAAAAGCACTGCTTTTTGGTTGTCGATTTGAAAAAAGTGATGTTTAGAAAAGGGAATTGCCAAGGAAATCAAAAATTACGAACCGACCTAGCTTAACACTTTGCTCGAGCAATTCTACGCCGAAATTAAAAACAAACATGATTAAACCTTGCAAACGACGATTCCATTTCATCGAAAGTGATTCGGACACAGACTGAACAATTCCTTAAACTTTTGAGCCGGACTTCGAACTTCTTTGCGCTTTAAAGATGTGAAAAGATTTGTATATTATTGTTTTTATCGTACGCGGTTGTTTTGACCGAACGCACGATTTGAATCAATTATTTTTGCACTTGATGCACTTGCTTTGCTTCTGCATAATTATGACAAGCTATCTCGTATTTTTTGATGTACATTTTAAATGTATATACATAATCACATGATTTTTCTCATGCAATTTGGAATAAATAAGCACTTGTAAATTCTTTCAAAGACCACAAATTGCAGTTGCCCTACAGGCAATTTCGTTAGTCTTGGAAAAAATTTACTCATGCTTATTTATTCCAAATTGCACTCGAAATTATGTAATAGCATCCACTAACATTAAGCCAAATTTTCAAATAATTATTCTGAAAGACTTGAATTCAGATCTTGTAAGGACAGACCTTGAGTAGCATAGTTATGTTGCTCAAATAGAAGGGATAGGTTGAGATTTGATGGGTGTTTTTACTATGCAATCCCACAATAGTTGGGGAGTATAATCTTATTTAATAAATGGAGAAGTCTTGACTGTGCGCTGTTTGTTGTAAAGCATGCAAGAAGCGGCTAGAGCACGAAAGAAGTGTAGGAGGAAACGCAAAACGTAATCGAGTGTTTCTTCCCACTTCTTGCGTGCTCTAGCTGCTCCCTAAGTGCCTTACAACAGAACAGAGCGCAGTCAAGGCCTCTGTGTTTGTTTTATAATAAAGAATCCGTTAAATTCCCCACACATTAATCTCAATTTTCAAAACAAACTTTATTTTCAAAGCGAATAACAATATCCTCAGCATGCTCTATACTCTCATAAAGCACGCTACAATAAGCTTATCAGAATCCTTGTAAGAATGGTTCAAATAATCTGATTGATTGAATAAGACTAAAGCTGTCAAAAATGTCAAACCATCAAAGTTCACAATCTGCAATAGTCTACAAACTGAAATAGTTCGGCAGGTCGAGTTTAACACTTTTGCCTGAAGTTTTTATCGGCTCTAATACAGAACCTGAAAGCGAAATGTTTAATGAAATCCAGCTGAATTGTGACTCATGAAAACGGAAGTTTTTTCACAAGACAATTAGAAAACAAACTGCTCAAGGCGTGTGTTTTATCAATTAATGACAGCCGAATCCACATGAAGATGAAGATTGCTTGGGATGACAGCGCTGTAAAACTCGCCTGCACTCAACCCATCAGAAAGGATATCAGAGCAAGCTCTCAGTTGTTTACTCGAAGGGCGGCCAATGTAATTTCTGAGGCTTCCTTTACTACGTTGACCGGAGATCGCGATGATGAGCTAGCCGCGATGGACCCCAGCACAGTCGCAGTCGCTCTCACTCCGTTATGATTAGTATGAATTTAATAGTTATGCTAGTTTGGCGATATTTTCGCCATTCCTGTTTTGTTCTGTTTTGTTTCTGAACACAAAATTTTATATACTATACGAGAGTTAGCTGTGTTTGATGTTTATTAGCGTACTTAAGCTTGCAACCTTACTAAAGAAAACCTTCAAACTCGGACTGTCCATTTCTTTTCTATCTAGGGATTTTCGTCTCTGCTCATGATGTAATAACGTAAATTACGGCGCTTGGCATGTTTACAAACCTTTGTTTTGGTTCTTCTGTTGCTACTTGCCGGCTGGCTTGTTCCGAAATTTCACTTTCAATGAATGAAAAAAAAAGCTAGAGAGAAATCTGGGAAATGGTTGGACATAGTGCAATTTAGTAGATGGCGTGACACCTTAAGCTCTCTTGCTCTATGTTCTATGTTCTGATAGAGCACGCTGTTTCAACCAATGAAGACTTGCGTTATATCAAAACTTAATTATAAAATGTGTTGAATTAAGAAGGCCAAGGTTTGCTCAGTGGGGAGTAATATGATCACAGAGGTATATTTTGGCCCAGTTTTTGTCCATTGAGATGTGTAACAGCTAAAACTTCCCTTCCCTTCCTATTTGCATCAGGGGTCAAGGTTGGAATAGGCTTCTTTGTCCTAGATTTTAACATCCACGTACAACGTAACATCAGCTCTAGTTAGCATTTATCTTAACTCAGTTTCGCAAGTGCGCTTCAGGATGTTACGTCATGCTCCCCTCATAAAATTTCGGTTTTCTGCCACGAAAGCGTTTGGATTAGGGATTGTCATTCAGAATACTACTCGATTTAATCAAATAAACCAGTTTGCTCCACGTATAAAGAAATCGCAATTTGTTTCTTCGAATCTGAATATAAGCTGCAACAAACACTCAGTTGTCTGCTGGTGAAGATAATAACGGGCACAACGTAGCTATCAATCGATATTTAGCTAATTCAATGCAAAATATCTGTAAAGGTCACGTAATTTGTGTAAGTTTGAGATCTAAGTGGATGAAACAAATTTGAACAAGAAAAAACAATAAAGAAACTCTCAGACTTTTAGACTGTGATGCGTCAACAAAAGAAAAAAAAATAGTCTCACATTTGGTATCGCTTTAGTGCCCAAAAAGCAAAGCAGAGCGTGGTGTAAACATAATATTTCCTCTCTAGGCTCTGGCTGAATAGTTTGTAAAAGACAAAAGAGGCATAGTTACAAAGGGCTTTTCATACTCTATCAGGAGAATAAAGTAAGATCTTGTTGACCATCACCACAAGAAAGGGTCCGGCCGCTTGCAAGGTGATGTACACCATTCTTGATTTCTGTAGTTTCAGCAGTTTTTAACTTAGTTTCTTTTCTTTTCTTTTATAGATACTATGTTATATAAACGATTCCCAGAGTTTTCTGATTTTCTAGCTCTTCGAACATCCACAATGTTACCAATGTTGCCTTCACGAATATTTCCTCTACATAGTGTGATCAGCCGTTCCATATCATTGAGTTAGTCCAATGCACAGATGATCTTTTCAAGCAAGCCTTTGTATTCTTTTCGCTTATTATCGAATTTTTTAATTTTTTCCAAACAGAGACCATTCCTTAACACTTTTCAACAGCTCTTTCATTAGTTTGAGGCGATCAACACCTAGATAACCGTGTTCTTCTACTTCTTTAAACAATGACAGTGCGTCGTGTACGTTTCCACTGCCAGACTGGGCTAGCTTCCCGCGGCAAATAAAATAAGACGTTAGAATGCATTTAGTCCGTCGATCATTTCGCTTGTTTCGAAGAACAAACTATTATATGCTGTGGTGGACATTTTAAATCTGTGCCAATACCGCTTCTCTCCTTGTCTTGCGGAAGGCTCTCTTTCTTAAGATTCTGTACAATCTATACAACATGGCAGTGACGAGACCTAACTATGAGCGTTTACTTTTTAAAGTCACGCAACTGAATTCCTGGGAAACTACTCAGATATGACACAGAGGCAAAATGAGTGCGCATGCTCAGCACAAGTGGGAGAGAGAGAGACAGTTAGGTGGCTAAAAGCTGTACGGTTTTTAATTGAGAAAATTAATGGTAACATAACCTGGCTCATTAAAAGAAATGAGCTCTCAGTTATTTATTGATGTAAGAGTTTCGCATTTTGTCATTTTACTGTCTATTTATATCACGGTAAATTCGATTATATATAAGAGTCGCAGTTCGTATGTACAGTTTTCACAAACAAGCGACAGCTTCTGAACGTTTGGAATTCAGGAAAATCATTCATTTCATCTCGTTTACACCACAACACAATCATCGTCAACACATGACGGCTGGTGAAGACGCTGTTATAAAAAAGTATCGTACGCTCAAACTAGCTCAAGTGATACATTCAGCTCAATGAAAAGTTATCTAAGAATTCATCATTTGTCATATGTTCTCAGGAGGATTATGTAAATGCGAAATCAGTCACAGTGTATGTGTTGTAGACTTTTTCCATGGACACAGTATAAGCAGCCGTCCTTATGTCTAGACCTAGGTCGTACTCACTGGCGCAGTGCATAATTTGCTAAAAAGAAAAAGAAAAAACAAAGTTATGTTCACTTTTTACTAATAAAAAGACAGGGAAAAATACGCGATGACGATTCGAACCCATCACTCTCTTGGGAACACAGTTCATAGACTCTTTCAGACGACGTTTCCTGGTCACTGTTTTCTTTTGGTGACAGTCTTTCCTCATTCACAATAGTAAATACCAGATTCTATGTTTGGATACTTGTCTGGAAAACTGGGAGGACAACTGAGAGGATAACCTCTTTTCCCCATAAAAATCAACCTTGAGAGTCTCACAAAGCCTCACAAAGCAAAATACTACATATTTGAGGTAAAATTTGTAGAAGAGAAACAAATGCCAAAGCGGACCAAAAGTGGACTTTTTTTTTAACGCTTATTTGTTTTTCCCAGAAATGCTACCGATATGTGGACAGCCCAGCAACCAAGTTAAGGTCAAAAATTGGACATGAATTCGAAAGAAACTTCGAATCCGTGACAGAGAAGACGTACCTTAGCTGATCGTTCTAAGGTGAACTCCAATCCAGAATGAACAATGTCTTTTTCATTCGCGCCCTAAGGTATAACAAGAGGGTTACAAACTTTTTTCTTCAATACAATGTCAAAGAAAAAGGTAAACATTTTCTTCCCTAAAAGGAGAATTAAGTCTACATTACATTTCAGATACGAATCTTACGTCTCATGGTTAACGAGCCAGTTGGAGACGAAATTACCTTGAACTACCATGTTTGTTCGCTAAGGCGCTGCCCTCGATGAAGCACCACCCCCCAAATAAGCAACAAGAGGAAGAGTAACAATATCGATAAGTGGTTCCCCCGAATAAACGTCACATCTAGAAAGGCGAGGTTTATTTATTTTATAATTTAACAAAAGTCGTACTGCTCAATCAATTATGCTGGGTGTAGCGAAGGATCAAGAATTTGGATATGGATTTTTCTAAGGAGGGGAGTGTACCACTAAGGAAGGACGTAACTGACAGGGGGACGCAAACAAATTTTTTGCAGGACATTCCCCAGATCCACCCCTGTGGTTCGTATTAATAAACTGAAAATAAAAAGCAATGCTCACAACGATCTCTCGAAGGAACGCAAGCGATGATTTTAAACGAATGGTTTCCTTGAAATTATGATACAGGCTTTCTTGGACGCTACCTGTCGAAGAAGAGACAAACATCCAGAAACACTGAGAGTTTGCTTAAAGCAATACAAACAGGTCACCAAAAGTGTTTAACAAGCAAAATGGCTACGAAGGTGAGCTGTCTCTGGTAGCTAATGAAGTAAAAAAGAAGAAAACTTATGCAGTTCAAAAAGAAAAAAAGGGCAAGATTGGTCGTGATTGGAATGCGAGGTTGAAAGGAAACTGCAATTCATGCTCTCAGTCATATTGTACTCTTTTATATAGTGAAGAAAATGTTGTCTTAAATCACTTGATATTCATAGTGAAATTTCTTATCTATGAAAACAAAATGAATGATAAAGATCCATCATTAAACGTATTCTTAGTGAAAAGACAAGCTCACCTAAAAGATGAAAATTTGCTTTCTTCTCGTATTTCCGAGTCAAACGTCGTAAACTGATGTGATTGATGTTCTTCAGCCTCTCAAAATAGGACACCGTCACACCTCCCGCATTTAAATACAAGTCCTAAATGGTCACAATATGAAACATTCAAGCTCAAACAATACCTCTGGTGCAAATATTAATTGCGATAAACAAATACAAGAGCTTCATATCAAAATTTACTTCAGATTGCATTTGCTGTTTCTTTGTTAACTTTCTGGAATAACGAGTTTCTTATTTTCAATCAGAACTTTCTTTTCCTCGGGCGTGGTCGGCCCATTTGCCCCCTCAGCAATGACCTGCAAACACAAAGTCGATAATCAAGAAAAAAAACGAAAACATAACCGGATGGTCTCCGCTTTCTACTATTCACGTAAAGGTAAAGTTGTCTAATACAAATAAAGAAGCCTTGAATATGTTCTGTTCTGTTGTAAAGCATGCAGGAAGCAGCAAGAGCGCGAAAGAAGTGTAGGGAAAAACACGAGACATAGTCGAATGTTTCTCCCTTCTTCTTCGTGCCTTATTTCCGAACTTTATTATAATTCTATTTAGAAGGAAGATTGAGATAGCATAAGGTAAAATTAACATTTCTGACGACTGCAAAGAGAAATATGGTGGTCCAGTGGTAAGCATGGCAAACTCTGGATTGAGAGAGACGAATTCTATAAGTGGCTGAAACATGTGTTGTGCATCGCAAAAAGACAAATTATATCAACCATTTCACTCCCAAGATCTCATTAGTAATTCTCCTTACTGTCTACTGCACAATGTTTATGTTAGTTTGGAGAATTTAATATTGGATCAACTAATAATCCCCTAATTGATATTTTTCTTTTTACTCATCATTTGCCTAATTTCTGTTCATACATTATCACCAACCTTGATTATATACCAACTCTGTATGACTTCTGAAGAAGTCAATATCAATTTGTTCTCCTTCAGTGGCACTAGGAATTGAGGAAATTACTCTCTCTGCGTCTTCAATTGCACAATACAAACTAAGGGCCAAGAATCAGTGTCCAAAGGTAAATTCTGTATAATATTTTGTTCACAATAGTCTTCACCTCTATGTCTGACCATTAAGGAAATTTGCAAAAATTCTGGTGCTAAAAACTTAGTCAGCTACCAACTGTGTTTGTTTTGTAGAGGAGAATAATAGTTGGTTAATTTAAAGCTGGGCAAAACTCACAGATAAAATAATTAACTGGGGTGATAAGAGTTCCAGCCTGTACACAATTTTTTGTTTTTGTTCCCAAAATACAAATAAATTAATTTGACTCGAATGGAATGCTTTTGAACATTGTTCAATGCCAGGTATGAAAATCTTAACAAAAACCTCTTGAAAATAATCAATCTGGCAGATTTTAAAGTCACTACACCACATTAACAATAGACAACTACCTCTGGAAATGTGGACAAAAGTCTGCATTTCTTAAACATAATTTTCCAGTTGTGATTGAAAGCTGGGGACAACGTTACAGCATTATATAGATGGAAAATTTAATACTCCTTCAAAATGGAAAGTTTAGAAGAGAGGTTGGGACTAAGTTATGTAAATGTATGTCATGTTATGTATGTTTGCCTGTATCCCTGATTATCATTGTTTCTGGCTATTTGTAACTTATATTAGATGAACTGGGCCTTATAAGAGTTGAATTAATTGTTTAGCAGACAAAAACACCCATGCATAACTGGCCAAGCACTGATTCTTGCACTATTATAAATACACTGTCTAATTTTATCTTACATTTCTGTTACTCATATTCAGCATCTAACCTGTGCTTGTTTGCCCTAAATATTTCACATGCACAAGAACCTTGCCTTTTCACACCTTACCTCCTTTCAAATTGATAGCGGCCTGCTTAAATGAAGCAATGATGCTGACTGACTGAGCTGAAATTTAAAGGATTCGTGAGGTTATCTAAAGCCATGATGACAAAAGATTCTTGATATTGGGAACGTGGAAACAAAATTTCAAAGCAATAACTGCTAAGCGAAATTATCAAATTAATACATCGTACTTCTTAACAAGAGAGAATTTCCTTTGCCACCAGTGAAGAAGCTGTAAGCCTTAGATTGAACTTCTCGAGCAAAAAGGCACTTCCGGCTTTTCAAATTTACTTCCTTGAATTTCAAAACAAATTAATATGACTAGAATTAATTGGGCACCTTTTCTCTTGATCTCAAACTCTTACATCTCCTTGACCATGGATCGCTTCTTCAACTGATTCAAAGTCTCTTTCAACGTTCCTAACCGGTCGATTCCAAAGTTACCCTGTTTCTCAAGTTCTCCAATTAATTCGAGTGCATTAATTTGACCTTTCCTTTACCGTCTTCTGAGGTCTGCTCTCTGCACATAAAAACCAATCTTTTTAATTGGTTTGCGCCAATTTTCGTTCCTATTCTAAATATAAGGTCACTATACTCCAGTTTAGACATATTTTATGAATATATGGGTCTTCTGTGGCGCGAAGATGAAGCAGAGTTTCCTCAATGCTTGTTAGCCGACGAACATAGCGGACACAGGCGGAAGAATTGTGACGTAAAGTGTTGCATGACTAACCACCAGCTCTCGTGATGTTCGAAAACCGACGGTGTGCGAACGTCACGCGAGCTAACTGTTAAAGGTGGACAGGGTTTAAGTACCTGAAGAGACATTTATCAAGATATCTGAGATAAAAAAAAAAAACTCTCAATATTTCTTTCGTTTTAGCTCTTGAAAGAGGAATTTGAGTCAAACGTTCAGATGTAAGTTCTTCGCTGTGATTTGTACTCAATACCCGAACTCGCAGAATTATCATCCTATGGAAGACACACCATCAGCAAAAAGGTATCAGCAAAATCTTAATAGCGTAATCATACTGAATCAGAATCAAGATTAGTTTGCCTGGAATCGAAATTGAGGCATTGGCATTGTTCATCTACGTCAAACTTTTCCACCATGATGAATCAAGATTCAGCCAGAATGCAATTCATGGTAGATTATTGAATTCATGGATCTGTCTCATTAAAATCAGTGTCCCGTTTATCCAATTCAAGCTGGGAATTTCATGACGAATGATCCTTCAGATCTAATGAGTGCAACGATGATCCATTAAGTTTAATTAATTAGTTACCAAGTCTGAACATGTTAAACGGTTCATGACATGCCTACATGTGAGGTTTGAGGTTGGAATGACTGTTCCGCAAAGTTCAGGGGATGGGAGGGTAGTTTCTGACACGCCAGTAAATCGGAGAATGTTGTTTAGTAAAACAGGACTGTTTTAGTAAGCTCAGTTTTGTCACGCGCTGCTTTGCATTGGGTGCATTGACACAACAAACACTTGATCGCAAGGTTTTTGCTTGAGATTGAGCTTCACTCGCCTTAGATCTGGCCTCGCCACTAAAAGTGTTGCCAGCTTAACGTCAAGGCTAGCACTCGAACAGAGCTCGATAACAAGGGTGGGGAGGAAAGGTTTTGAAACCTCATTCACTTAGAATTCGTTTTCCAGGGAGAGAGGTTTCTGCGAAAGGATAGAAGTTATTATTTGAACATGATAACCACGATAACCTCTTTCTAATGAATAATGTTTTCTTCTTTTTCCGAACACGTAAACATAATACTGAATGTTTTTTCATTAGTTTTCGTGCAAGAAAAAAGTCATATGATTATGATCCGCACTTCTCTGGAGGACAATGTTTGTTTGAGCGATCGTCGAATATTTCCTAGTGAGTTGAGTACCACGACTTCAAACTACCATTTCAAAAAAATTAACGCTGTGTTTACCACATTTAAAATTACTTTTCGCAGACTCGTCTGATTTTTAATTTGAGCTTCACACTTTTAAATGAGTATACAAGTGATGAATAATGATTGTGAACATATGAAAATCATATATGTGCACTGCGGTGAAGAAACGAATATAAGCGATCCTCGCAGCTATGAACACTACTGAACTAGTAGTTAAAAAAAAAAAATTTCTTTCAGGCCCGTATGGGATTTGAACCATGACCTTTGCGCATGCGATACCGGTGCAACGCTCAACCAACTGAGCTAACAAGCCAACTGTGGATATATGAAAATCATATATGTGCACTGCCGTGAAGAGACGAATATAAGAGATCCTACAGCTATGAACATTACTGAACTACTAGTTGATATAAGACCTGAAAAAAAATTTTTCAGGCCCGTACAGGATTTGAACCATGACCTCTGCGATAACGGGGCAGCGTTCTACCAATTGAGCTAATTATGTCATTATGTTGGGTCCAAATAAACCATCTCACCATAATGATAATTATGATAATGATAATCATGATAATGACCCAGTTGGCTTGTTAGCTCAGTGGGTCGAGCGCTGCACCGATATCACAGAGGTCATGGGTTCAAATCCGAACGAGTACACAAGTTTTCACACCCCGGTAAAACATCGCTTAAAGTGGTTTTCAGCACAAGCACCTGTTGTTCTCGGGCTGGTTTTAAGCAGAAACACAAACCCATTGTTCTACGTCCTCTTACAGTTGGAATGTAGGCTGCCATTAAGGAGTTGTAGAAAATTAAACAAAGGTTAAGCGTGCACTTAAGTAATCATGAATACCGTGAACTGGACACACTTATTTCATTTAAGCACGTGTTGCATTCCAAAGAAAAAAACACAGGTTATATTAAATTTCACAAACCATATTTCGCATAAACGACGCGACTGAATGTAAGTTGCTCGTTTGTTCCCCTTCGGACTCGAGTATGTTCACAGCCCATCTCTATAATTACTCTGTCGAGCATTTTGAAGAAAAAAATGAAAAATTCAAAAGCAAAATTTTGCTCCCAAAGTGTCTGTAATTGTTCTTGTCATAGAAAGCTAAACATGGCTAGAAATCGAAGACATCATGGCGGCTAAGCATGCGCATAAAAGACAAATTACAGAGTTTAAATATGGCGGCTGCATAAGGCTTTCTGTGGGAAAATTTTGAAAATCAGACACAGTAATTTTCTGGAAGCGTGTACTAAAAATGCCCTCGTCTGAAATGTATTAGAAGAGTGTCCAGATCACTCACCTCCGTTCTCAAACTCTTACGATTTCGTTACGATCTGCCCCAGTCGAAGAAACTTTAAACCTTTTTGGTGCCCCAAGTGTCTTAAAATGGCTTATGTTGGTCAGCTAAAGCTTCTCCTGCAGCCACAACAAGGGTTGTTTTATCAATTGCCCACGTCTGTTCGATCTCTTCGAAAGCCGACCTTCTAATTGAAGGCTATTTGAAGTCATAAAAGTGTGAATCCACGCTGCCAAACGACTTCCAAAAGTCCAAAAAAAATTTTTTTCTTATGGGTCTTGTTCCCAGTAGAGACGTTGACTCAAAAACTAAAATTATAAGATCTGAAAACATATCTAAGAACTCTTCGATCGCCATTTTGTAAAAACATAGTAACCTAGCCTGTTATGGACAATACCGCTACAGGGTAGCTACTGAAGGCTCAAAGATTGAATAGATTGCAGCATTGGCGCGAAAATAATTTGACTTGAAAAACAAAATAGTAAGCTTCTTACTTGGACAAGATTTTAACAGCTTCTCAAGCAATATCTCGGAAAGAAAATAATAAAGAAGTTATCTGCGCTGCAAAATGTCTGATACACCTCCATTTGATTCATTTTTAAAATGGAAGTTGGGGATTGAAAGTCCCTCTTTAGCCTATGCTGTAAGGTGAAACGCAGCTCGTGTTGCGTCCGCGACATCAGCCGCTGACTGACCTCGATTTCTAGCCATACGGCAAAACGTTCCACCATAACAATACGCAGTGGTCCACAATGGTTCACGTGTCATGATGCTGCCTTACTTTCGAGCTACACTGCACCGAACCGAACCTAGACAGAACTGAATGAAAGTAAATTAAATGGTTTGCAAAAAAGAATGCTTATCCACTTAAAGGTAAATGTATAACTCGTAAAAAGAAATCTTAAATTACCGTCTTCAAAAATTCGAGTAATAACGAAAACTTCTAAATAGTCATTCGTGACTATTTGTCACGATATACACTCGAGTACGTGCGATTTGCTATACTTATACCACAATCTTAATGTAATTGTTGAAAAGTCTGCAAGGTTTGGCATGAGGTTTACGGTCGAGGCAAACGCCATGAATGAAAACTAACATCTGCCGATCAAGGTTACCTTCGTATGGAAAGACAACCAAGCTAGAACCTCTTTTCCACAAAAAAGATAAAAAATACCCATCACCCTTCTGGTCCACACTTACGGCTTACTAAGTGGGTTCTCTCTAAAATTGAACCAGCATCGAGGTCACCAAAGCCAGACCACTTAAATCAGTAAACACCTCAACAGTCCCTTCACGGAACGGACTGATGACAAATTTCACCTTTGCGGGGATTGCAGAAACTAACCTCTGAATTTGATCGTCAAAAACTGATTTCAATCGGTCGTGAAAGAAAAGGGCCAATCGCAGATGAAAAAATTCAGTAAAAAAAGGAAAGTTCTCCGATAGCAAATTTTACAAAAAATACAAAGTGTCAGCTTCCTCATCAAGTAAACGTTAGTACCAGCCAAACCAACACAATGATAAACATAGTAGTAGCATCCTCAGATGATCTACGTTAGTTGGAATTATTTCTCAGTATTTAGCATAGCTACCTGCTCGACAAAATGCCGTCATAATTAGAGACGATCGAACTAAAAATCCGATCAAACTGAAAAGAAGCCTAATACTATTACTAATAAGTCGGCTCTTCATGCATTTTGAGTCTTACAATACACGACAAATTTTCCTCTATCCGAGCTATTACCGTGATGTCTTCTCTTCCATAAAGTCTGTGTCTCCTTCCTTTTATAAATTTAATGTTCTTTTTACTTAAAGACCTCTTTAATTCTCTCATCATTGATATAAGGTCCATCGTTTGCCAGCGTCTGGTAAAAATCTCCAGCATCGAAGTTAGGAAACCACTATCTTCACACCTAGTACACACGTCAACTAGGTTTTCGTGCAACCCTGTTCTTGGCTCCTCATAAAAAGGTCGGATAATCAATTTCACTTTTGTGGGAAATAAGGCAACCAACCTCTCCTTTACAGGGAAAACTACCATCTCTGCTAGCTGGCACGGATCAAGGCTCCGATGGAGGTTGAAAATTACAGCAAATAACGAAAATTTATCTGAGGATAAATTGCAAAATGAACGCAAAATGTAAAACTACAACCAAGAATTACAGTTTACTATTAAAGATTTAGTAACAAATATAAGACCACAAGCTGATCTATGTTAATAGGAATTATTTCTCAGTATCTATCATGGCCGCTTCCCCGAAAAAAAAACCCCTTGACTCATTTTAACTGAGGGCAATGCCATTAAATTAAACAGAATCAAGCACAGATTTGTTTTCAATCACGAGCGACATGAATTAGGAAAATAATTGTTCCCTCGCCTGAAGAGCAGGCGTTATTCTGAGATATTTTTTTCAGCGGGCGGAGATAAACACAAGATGAAGGCGAGGAGAGCGCGAAGGGTAAGTGAGTCGCACGCGAAAGGAGGAGCACGCGCGTGTCTTTCATTTCGTGCTTGTCTCGCGCTTAGCTCTCCTTGCCTGAATACGTTAAAAGGACTTCTGTTCTCCTGGTAAATATTCCCTTGTTCCTGGTGATTTTTATCGATTCTTAGACCAGTGTTAAGTCTTCAATCCTCAAAGAAACTTGTTAACTTATGGGCGAGGATCTCATTGTGCAAAGTCCAACCATAATACCGTTCTCGTCGAGGAGGGCATAAACACAAACCTGAAGTGTTGTAAATCACCAATAAGTTATGCACCTACCATTAACCCGTAATGAAGGCCACGCAGGTCTAGCTTTAGCTTAACTATTAAATTGGTGGCAGTTTCGTGGTGTGCAGACATACTACCACGACTGTGTCTTTTTCATGTTAATTTCCGTTTATACATTTTCACCAACCTTCATTGGATTTCCAACTCTGTATGACTTCTGAAGAAGTTGATCCCAGTTTGTTTATCTCTCTCTCTACGTCTTTACTCGGCAGCACTGGAAAAGGTTGAAAGAAATGTTCCCTCTCTCTCTGTCTGATAAGTTCAAATAAGTTTCTACAGCGCACCACAGTTACCTCGCTCTTAGAGTTAAAATCTTTAAAAAACTTCTCAATCCCCTCAGTGTCGCAAGTCTCCATACTGTCAATAATCAGAACAGCTGCACTGCTGTGATAAGATATGGGAAGATCATCAGGATTCCTTAATTTCTTTATTTCCTGTAAACGAAGAGCAGGTCGCAACGATCTTGTGGCTCGTGGTTTTCCTTCTTCAAGCAAATCAATCAGGTCATATAACTGTAAAGCTTCAAAGACTTCTTTTAAAAGCTTAACAGGTGTGTCCGGAAACATACCGAGAATTTTACTAAATACACTTGCCCGAGCGAAGAACAGAGAACTATCCATTCCAAATGACTGGCATATTTGTTTAAATGCAGTTTGATCGCCATTCAGTCTTGTGTCCAGTTCGCTAATTTCTCCCTTGCTGAGATCTTTCCAGCAAAGATTGTGGTCGCCGCCTGACAAAAGATAAACAATACCAACATACGAAGAATTCAAAACAAAAGGGGGGAAACTCTTATTATTATCATTATCATAATTTTTTTATGAGGGTAGCACCGTTCACTCCTACGCGAAATCGAACATGGCAAAGAGCAACTAAATGAAAGCTCAACACAAATTGATGGATGCAATTCTCTTCCACTTTTGGTTTTGTTGAAATTGAGGTGTTGGTACTCAATTGATATCAGTTTTTTACTTTAAAATCATTAAGCAAGATCTCGATGGGTGTTACTAAATTGTAGATCAGTAGACCGCGGAACCTCCCGGACCTCCAGAACCAGCGGAATCATTAGTTTTTGTAAAGTAATAATGAAATGAAATAAATGCTAAAAATACCTTAGCACTATTCGAAATTTCGTTTTCGGGTATAAAGAAGATAACGTTAAAGAGAAATATGGTTTTTTGTTAACTACCTTGACGTCCAACCACAGGAAACCTAAGCTCACACAGTGAGCCTCTATCAATATGCAAATATGTTTACGTTGCGCAATGGGTGAAATACAAGCATCTGCATGGAAATGAACATTCGCGCTCTCAACCTTTAAAATATCTGGACTAGTTTTGAATAAGGATAAATTTATCCCACTCAAGTGGTTGTTCTTTTGCAGCGCGTGAATTTTTTGGGCTGATTTGGGGAAATTTAGTTCTGCTTTAGTTTATCTGCTTGGCCCTCCTCATAATCCTTTCCAAGATATGTCTGTGAGTAACGCCAATCAAACGAATCCACTGGAAGCAAAACGATGTAAATTCGTGAGTCTGGACATCCTTATCACCCCAAATTCTACAGGCATGCAACCGAAGTCACGCGTAATTGCGTGCTTATCATTTGTTTAAAAACATCAAACGCCTACCGTACTAAACACAAGTAAGAAAATACATACAAGAGAACGAAAACTTACAAATAAACTCACAATAAAGAAAAATATTTACCTTAATGCGGTGCATAGCTTTAAAGGCAAAAAACGACGACGCTCCTTCTTAAAAGTGGACAAAAAACTGATCCACAAGACTACGTTTATACTCAAAACCTGACAAATTACTTGACATAATTACGTAAGATCTCATAAAAGTCACAAACATCCACCACAAGTACACGATACAACTAAAGAAACGTAAACACACTTGCAGGGAATTAACGCGTAAACAAAATACACCTAGAAAACAATATGACAATAAGTTTCGCGATAACAATGCATCACAGGCGATGATGTCACTTTACGTTCGTGTTCCTCACTCCAGCGTCATGTACAATGAAACGAATTTAAGGCCGTTAATTCCATCTTAAAGCTTTGCTGAGAGCCTCCGGATGAGTCGCTACTCGGATATCGCGGTACCCAAACCGTTAGAGCCTTCAAATTATGGTTCAATTATTAACACTCGGGGTAGGTGACTGTTGATTGCTCGTTATAACATTACATACTCTTTTACGGTGAATGTCACCACAGTTAAAGTTGGACGTCAAGGACATTTAAAACATGCTTTTCTTTCAAACTAAACATCTTTATACCCAAAAGCGAACTTTCAAACAGTGTTAAGGTCTTATAGTTTTATATTTCATTTCATTACTATTCTATCACAAAAAATATAGGGTTCCGCGGGTTCCGCGGTCTGCTGATCTGAGGTTTAGTAACACCCGATCTCGATCCAGAATCTCGTTAATTCCTAAAGCGCTCATTTATTTCAATTCTCTTGTAAACTAGATATCTTGTCGAGAGACCTGCTGAAGTTCTTTCCACCTCTAACCTCAGAAAAATTCCCTTGTAGGTTACATGTGCTGGCGGAGTAACTCAGTGTTTTACGATCCTGCTGAAATGTCACACTGCTATCTACCAAACATTTTGGGGATTGACATGCCATGATTAAAATGAAATAATTACCAGATATGTCTTGCATTTCTATCTCAGATGTTGTACCAAGTGTTCTTATTCCGCTGTCACTTGTCTCTGTCGTCATGCTGTGTGTTTCATGGATATTCTGTAAATAATTCTCTACGAACATACGCTTGTCGAAATCCAATTGTGCTCCACCCTCTAAAGCTCGCTCTGGTTGGTTTTCAGTTTGTTCAACCTCCTCTTCTCTTGCTTTGTAATACAGATTGGAATCAGAATTTCTTCGACCTCTTTTTCGTGGACGTTCGAGAATCTCGCATTCTGAAACAGAAAAAAAAGGGAAGTAAAATAGCTCAAAATTGAGGGGTACGATTGGTAGTGATTACACTTAAAAGACCTTTTCATGAAACGATTTAAAAGTTTATCAAAATAAGTAGTTCACCTCCTTTTTATCTATAATTTTGCTTATTTCCAAAAATAATACTTTGGTGACTTGCTTGTGGCAAATGGTTGTGAAGGAAGAGGGTTTCTCTTTGGTTTAACCAGGCTTGCCATGTCGATAGATGTATTTATCATAATTATTATCCTTCTGGAACATGGAACATATGTGACATTTCAGTAAGACTTTGACATCGAACCATACTAAAGGTTCGCGTGTGCTCAGTTACGTTAAATGAATTTTGAAATATAACTATAAAAATATCTTTCAGTTCATTCGAATAACAACGGATTGTTCAAAATAAACTGTTCAAAACAAAAGGCGTTCAAAAATTCTCACGTTGTTCCCTCCTTCGCTAAAAACGATGAAGCTGGCGATTTTTATTGCTGTTGTTCTTGTTACCCGAATGAATTTGCATAAGGCGTTTCGCAAAACAAGCAGTGTAAGTAAGCTGACTGAGGTAAGACAGGTATAAAACATAATTTTACTTTCCTAATAGTGGTTCAAGTTCCAGAATCTATTCCTACTGTGCATGACATTTGACGTTTTTTCTCTTCGTAATTATTTCTATAAAACTTTATCAAACGAAAGTTCTGTGATGTATGATGACTTCCTTATTTTCTAAGATCAACTGAACACCATGACAGTAGGCTGAAATCACTTGCTAGTCATGGACCTAAGAAAGAGCGACAGCACTTACAAGTTAACCACAGCAAACAATGTTTCAGTTTGCTTAAGGTTGGTTCTACATCACGCTTGCTTACGGTAACAACGGTATCACTCACCTATGGCCCAGATTAGGTTAACATTTATTTGAATTTGGTTAAATAGATGCTTCCGCTATGTTTCACCTGGTTTTCTGTCCCAGGAAGAATCAATTGACCCAATTCGTGGGAAGGACATGAAAAGTATTTCTAATGCAATACGACAGTTGTATGTTTGCAAGAAATTTACGCTACCCACTATTTTACCAGTGATCCCCTATACATTTTGCAAAAATAAATCAAGTGTAACGAGGTACTTGAATGCTTACGATCCAGATCTCTCGTCCTTTCCGCCTTCAAAGTTTCCTCAAGCTCTACGATCCTTAATTCAAGCATTTTTTTCTCTTCCCCCCATTTGTCTTCTGTTTCCTCCATTAGCTTCATCAAGCCTATCTCATTCTCATTGGGTTTGACGCAAAGAAAAGAGTCAGAATTCCTTCGAGTTCTTCGTCCAGGCCGTTCCTCCTCTTCAACATTTGGCGCTAAAGGAAGAATTAAGCAACAAGAACAATTAGAATGTACTTTGATTTGAAGTTGATTGATCCTTTCCAAGAAAGATTCGTTGATGGTAAAATGCTGTCTAAATTTTAAACCATGTATAAAATTACGATTAATGTTCTTGAGCAACCCAGCCATGAGCCCTTAATCCAGGCTTCTGTAAACTCTGGCCATATACGTGTAAGGAAAATAGAGGGAGGGGAGGGATGGAGAAAAAGCTGGAAAATAAGCGCTACAAAAAAAATGAGGGAAAGACGCCACCAGACTGCTCGAGAACCCAAAGACGTCAACTGTAACGTTATTGCGACATTTCAAATGCCTGCAATAATTTGGCGATGACCGATCACACAGATTATTTAAAAAAGAAACATGCTCTGTTCCGAAATTTCAGATTTCATTTGCATATGTTGTTGACGGTCACTAATCAGCTGATCAATAATTCAGGTGCTTCTTTGGGCCAGCGACAACTAATTCAGAAATTTGATTATGGATTTAACTGTTTCAATAAGAAAGACTGTATGCGGATTGGTTCTTACGTATTACTCAGTTTGCCTGTAGTACCAGAACCATCCAAATTAACCTGGCCAATTGAAATGCACTTGTAAATTACATTTACATTTTGACATGTGCGAGGAAGCTTTCCAAATACAAGCCACTATTTACATGGCATATGACTACCTTTTATCATTACAAGCATACCTTGATGAAGTAAAAACAAATTGAAATAGGCTTCGTTATACTCGTGTTCATCAATGAACACTGTCACCTCAATGTCTTCTCCATTCGCAAGCTCCTTAATTTCATTAGTGACTAGGAATTCTTGAAGACGACTCTGCAATGTTCCATCTTTGTAAATCTCCCATAACTCCTTCAAAGCAATCAAATTCTCAGATTCTACCGTGAAGCGTACAGAACCATTACTGATCTCAATCAGTTTGTTGGATGAAGGTAATACAACTTTTTCAAAGGTCTCCTGGTAGTCCTGGCGACTAGAGCACTTTTGCAGAGCCATGCCACTGTTAACCGTTAGAAGACCACCAGCAACGGTACGAAAATTACACACCAAAGTTATACCTGTTGAAAAAAAGCACAAAAATTGGCAAATAGTTCAGGAGATGGTTATTACACACATACATATAATTTATTTCACGCGTAACATGCCCACACACTGAATAGAATGTGTGCAACCATGACAATTCTGGTTTGCTTGGGAAGCAAATGGCACTAGGATGGATGTGTACAGACACTGTGTGCTGCAGAGTTTTGCAGCATTTCACGAAAAGTTTACTCAGACAAGAGAAAGAAGTTAGTTTATAATCGCTTGGTGGTAATTGTTGAGAATCAGTTAACTTTATGATGATAATCAAAACTGGACACAGATACTGAAAAAAAAACATAGTTTTTAACAATCCCAGCTAGCCAGAGGCAGACCAGTAGGCTATATACAGCACACAGCGAATGAGTTCAACTTGGGGCAACTGACAACAAATCCAGGGCATAGAAGGGTGGAGGGCTTGAACCCGGGATCATCAGAATATGAGTCTAGCACCACTGCCATTCAGCCACATGGCCTTCAGTGACTCACCTCTTTTTAAGTTCTCTACCACAAAGGACACACCTCCTACACATGGTGCTGAAAACAAAAATGTGGACAAATGAATAGGGAAATCTCTTATCAATTCAACTTTCCACAACTGACTTCCTTTGAAATTTAAAGCTATACAGAAAGGGCCAAAATGCAGCAGCTTCTGACAGAACCCCTGTCATTCCAAGGGAAAGTTATTACTCTGTATACTCTTATTGATCTTTTTTCAGTTAAGCATTTTTGGAAAAAAGTCATGAGGTGGGGAGTGTGGGTTTGATCACATAGGGTTTGTTTCAGTTTGCATGTGTTAAGACTATCAAACTTGGTATTGGGATCCCCTTTCCCAGCCAATAAGGTAGACACCCTCAAAACAAATTACTGTGAGTGCAAACATAGATAGAGTGAACCCAATCAGCCCAAGAACCTGTTCACCAACCCCCCCTAAAGAAGAAAAATTAAATATACATCAGCCAATGAGAACATCATATTTTGAGGACCAGAGAGACTTATCAGTTTGAAATCTTGTGAGAGGTAAAGGAAAAAAGGAGAGGGAAAAAAAAATAACCTTAGAACAGGGCCTGGAAATGAGAATTTTATTTCCCCACTCCTTTCACTGGTTAAAACTTTCAAAGCAACCAGCTCTGTAGACTAATTGTTCAAGAAACAGCAAGATACAAGAGTCAGTCATCAAGTCTCAATTTATATTACTAGTGGTAGGGATTGCTGCAAGGGTAAGTAAAATTAGCTCTCTGCCTTAAGTTTTACTGCAAACATGTGGATAAATCCAATCTTTTCCACACACTCAGTATTATCTATGCATGCAAATGCAAGACTTTATGTGGGAGCCATGTTGATTATATGCATACAGTAATTGGATATTAAAACTAAAACAAAGGACCAGCTTTGGGAACAATTACTGTTTACAGCCACTGAAATGATTGGAATTAAGGATAATGCTAGTTTATGTAGATAACAGCTTTCTATTACTAATGATTGATCATTATAGTTATTAATGATAATAATAATATCAATAAATATCAAATAATATAGAAGGCCCATTTAGTCGATGGTTTTAAGGTTAATGTAATCAGATCAACTTATTGATTTCCAAAAAGTGGCCAAAAATAAACTTTTAATTATTCTTAAATAAAAGTATCCGCATTGTCAGGTGGCTTCCCTAATAACCGTTTAACTCCCATGTGACCAAGACAGAATTTCTCCTTACAAAATACAATATCAAGCAGAGAAAGGACAAGAATAAAGAAAAATATCAATGAGGCAATTATTGGTTGATCCAAAATAAAATTCTCCAAACAAGATGTTGGGAGTAAAAGGGTTAACTTGGCCCTGTTGAAAACAAATTCCTCACACTGTATTTGTTTGTGGGCCATGCTAGTATTTTTTAGATGTCACACTTGAAGCTGCACAAGTAATATTTCAGTCTTTGATTAACTTCAGAAAATAGCTTGTATAAAAAAAACGCCCACTCAAGTAATATATGGTAGCTAGCCGTCTGACTAAGCAAGTAATGCATTTCAAGTTAATTAAGTATTTTTGTGTGGAATGTAGTGTGGAATGTAGAGAAATAAATAACTGTTATATAAAGATGAAAGCCTAATTTTCAATAAATACCTTTAATCCAGTTTGCAATAGATGTTACATAAGCAGCTGCTTGTCCTGAAATTATAAGTCAGAATTTGAATTAAACATTTGCTCAAGAAGCCTGTACACATCCATTGATGTTACATTCTATCTGATCAAAGGTCAGCAACCTTAACAGTTATTCTATTAACTTTTCAGTTGATATGCTGATCTGCTCAGAGGGGGCTTGTAGACTATCCTGTAAATACCTTCTGTATGGCTAGAGATTTTTCTGGAAGTTTGATGATCAGTGTGGGTGGCACAACTGCCTAGTTTTTGCCTTGAATGCTTTCTATTTAATGTTCTGTGCATCTCCCTTGAAAAGAAACCGGAACAGTAAATTGACATATAGCAGTGTTCTTGGCCGATGGGGATTTTCTGCCGGTTGGTGTGCAGAAAAAACTCAAGTCTATCCACCCCCCCCCCCCCCCCCCCCCCCCAACCAACCTCTGCAGGGGATTTCTCCAATTATTTTCCTTACAAAGCCACCTATAGTTTCACCACATGTTTCTATCTCTCAACCATCCAAGATGTTCCAATAAATCAGTTCTATTGATAACTTGTCAGAGTTGTCTACTTCAAAGAATATTTTATCTTATAATAAAGTTCGATATAACACACACAGTCTTTTGTTGAAACAGCCTGCTTTATCAGAGTATAGAACCTAAAGCAAGGGAGCTAAAGCTGTTACGCCATCTGCCAAATTGTAGTATGTCTGGCCATTTCCTGGACTTCTCCCTAGCTCATTTTTATTAATTGAAATTGATATTTCGGAACAAGCAAGTTGGCAAATGGCAACACAGGAACCAAAAAAGGTTTGTAAACTGATGTCAAGCGCCATATCTGATACAATTATAAGGTGATCAGAGAGGAAAATCCTCAAAGAGAAAATGAAATGGACACTCTGAGTTGGAAGGTTTTCACCCTCAGTTAGATTGTAAGCTTACCTACAGCAGTAAAAATCAAACACTGCTAACACTTGCTTTTCATGTTCAAAAACAGAACAGAACATTAAACAGTATATATATTCAGTACATTGAAAAGTATAGCCAAACTGGCATAACTGTTAAAATTGATACTAATTGTGAGCAACTGTGATCATGCAGAGAATAAGATTTACAACCTCTTCCTAAGAAGGATACCCCAGAGGTCTTGTGCTTAGTATAGTGAGCTCTGGGGACAAGACAGGAATGCCATTGTAGACTCCACTGCAGTCCTTGTCATGTAATTGACAGGAACCAGACTTTGGTGGCCCAATAAGAGATTATATTATGGTGATCTTGACTATTTGACCAAGTATTGTAGGAGGACATTAATTTTAATCCCAAAACTAAAATCCTTTGTAATATTTTTTTCAAAGTTTAAAGTTGTGGTTACCAATACATCATACAATACAAAACATATCACATTAAATTCAATTTAGTATCAGGATGAAAAGCTGACCTGAGTATTTTTGGTAAATTTTGTCTACTTGCAATTCAAGTTGTGGTCTACCCTGTGTCAACTCAGACCTTTCAGGCTGTGTGATACCATGATGCACAATGACTCAGCATCATGAGTGCTAAACATTGTTCATGACCACCATTTCATGAAGGTCTTGTGAATTTCTTGGTGGAATCTTTTTAGTGGCCAGTCTTAGTGGACATAGCCTGGGTTGCTTGCATGACATTTGGTGAATATTGTTGGTGAAAAACTTCCACAAATTTAATTATTTCTATCCATGATAAAAAATCAAAACCTCAACTGAGCGCTGAGATGTTTGTTCTAAATTTCTGTAAAATGCACAAACTCACAGAAACACAATAACAATGACGCCAAAAAGTGTCACTGAATTGCACTCTCTTTTTTTTGTCTCCCCGTCCAGCCAAGAGAAAGCAAATGGTGAACACAAGGCTGTGCTCTAGGAAAATTTTCAGGGCGCCCTTTGGGCGCCTAACCATGACAAGTAGGTCGCCCAGCCTTCCAGGTTGGTCGCCCAAATTGATTAATTAATAATTAATTGATTGATTAATTAATTAATAATCCATTTTATAGTTGCCAAACAGTTTCATGTTCAATATTCACTTCACCGGGCACGGGTGGCGAAGCGAGTTACTATATTTAGCAGTCACATACTCTATTTTGGCAAACTTGTGATATCATGAAATCCTGTTATAAATTAACCACATACATGTTAAAACCGCTAAGAAAATTTCTTTGAAGACCACTAAAATAGGTTTCGAAACAAAAGGGTTCTTATATTAAAGTTTCGTTTTCGTCAAATTTTTATCGAATGATTACAATTGCGAGCAAGTCGCCAAATATGGTCCTGATAAACATCTTGCATGCCACAGACGAAGCTAATTAAATAAACACAAATTTGCATAAAGGACGGTTTCGTTTTATCAATCACGCGCTCCACTATTGAAACTGTCACAAAAGAATATACTCCAAAAGAATGATTCTTTGACGTTGCCCAGGTATGTCGGGGTGATTTCAAAAGTTTCATGACTTAATAGAGATAGAAACAGAGACTATTTTCTTAGGCCAGGAAATATTTCATTTCATTGTTTTACCGTATGCTTTTTTGATAGAGCACTTTCCATTTTTTGAGCTGGGTCCAAGTCAGGCTTGAAGTTAATAAGAGGAAGTGCTTGAAACAAAAATCTGGAGTTCTTTCTCAAGGATTTTTACAGTCAAACAGAATTTTTAGAACATTTAAGGATTTTTAGACGGTTATGTTTAGATGATAGCAAGCTATAATGTTTTTCCATTCCATATGTTATATGAAGTTAGAAAATCATCACCATGTAGACAGATGAGGATTTCCATGGGGGTGAAAATGTAAGTGACAAAGATACTAATTATGAAGACAAAGAAGATGGACTACGATGACAGTGAAAGCAATGAAGCTAATGATGACATAAGTTTTCTTCATCGCACAGAGTGAGGTAACAGATTCTGCTGGCGTTCCAGCCCAGCCTTGTTTCCTGAATTAGATTGTGTCTGTAAAAAAATTCTCTTTCTTCTCTGTAGCCTGTGACACACAATTTGATCAAAGTAAACTGCAAACAGCGATAGAAAGTATTTTAAAGTAAGAAAATGTGCTTCATGAATTCTGTTTCTTTATTATCTAGTACATGTTGCTCTACACTGGTAAAAAAATGTCGAATTTTTAAGACAAGAAAATAATTCAAAATATCAAAACAATTACCCCTTTACAATCATCTGTTACAAGAGGCTGTTCAATTGGCTGCAAGTTTCCTCACTTTCCCTTTGGTTTTTTTTTTAAGTTAACTTAGTCCTAACCACATACAGTTTCTATCAAATATACTATTTTTGTTGAAATCTGTCAGAGCTAATCAAATATGTTTAGAAAAAATAACAAATTAGAATAAGAGGACTTGTCAAGCAAAACCATTAGGTCCTCTCACAAAGAGAGTAAAAGAATTCAAATCTTCTTAAAGAGAGACTTGAATAAATTTTTCAAAATCAAAGAGCATTGAAAATGGAGTTTGTAGGGAGTGACAAAAGGAAGAAAGCATGCAATAACAGAGCATGCTGGGAAACCACAAGGACAGTGCAACTAAAGGGGGAAGTGGAGGAAAGGTGAATACAAAAATCTAATGGAAATTTGTTCATACAGAGATAAAGTTCCACAATACATGTACATCTGTTAAATTCAATTGTTGTCAAAGAATTACATTGTCACAATTTTCCTTTTAAAGCCTTTGTGGATTCTTTCCAAGTTAACTTGAAGCTTGTGAGTTATTCTCCCACAATATCAATAGTCACGATTACAATTTTGTGAGGACTCAATAAGGCTTTCATTCTGAAGGATTCATTCAAACAAAAACATGTTGGCACCTTGAATCGTGATAACAAGGTATGTAGTGCTAGTATATGTGTGTCCATATCACATAAATACCCGGAAAAAAAACCTGCCCTGCTGAGTCGATTTAGTCCTCTGTAGAATGAAATTTTAGGTATTTTTGAATTGCGAGCAACCATGCACAGACTCAGTAGAGCAAAACCAAAAATTTTGATGCACTGACTGTTGTCAATTTCTGCTCATGAGCTCTACAAAGAAGTAGAGAAAGATGTTTTTCATCTTTTCATCTTGTCACAAGCATGGACAAAGGAAAAATTCTGAGTCCACATGAGGAATCAGACCTCATGATCTTCGGATCACGCGCTCCAATGCTCTACCACTGAGCCAAAGAGACTCTAGTGAGCAAGGCACATTACAAAGTTTGTACATAACATGTATTCTTCATACAGCTAGGATCAGCAATGTTGATGTGATGTTTTGTATATAAAATAAGAAAGATGGTAAGTTTTGAGCTCGGTGAAGGAAAAGAGAAAGATGTTTCTTTCTTGTCATGAGCATGGGACAAAGGAAAAATTCTGAGAGGAACTGAACCTCAGACCTTTGAATTTTGCGCTCTGATGCTCTACCACTGAGCCGAAGAGACTCTGTGGTGAGTAATGCCCATTACGAAGTTCATATGACACGAGTCCTCCATACTCACATACGTCCTGCATATACTTAGATGAAAAGGAGGGCTTTCAAAGCACTAAATAGTCTGAATGAAAAGCCATACAGTTTTCGCACCAAAAACGTAATTTAAACTGGAAGCCATGACTTCGAGACAGCAGAACAATTTAATAGCCTGGCATTCTGAATTTGCAAAGTACCTTCAGGTATAACAAAATATATGAGCGCCGAGTTTGATTTTAAAATGTGTTCTTGACGTATCCGTTATAGGCCACGTCCACCATATTACTTAAGAAAGTGCCGGAACGCGACAAAACTGCAGTAAACAGTAAAAGTGATAAAACAAATACCTTTCTTCCTCTCAAACTCATCTTCGTTATTTCTTCGCTCCTCTAACTTTTCCACTTCCTTGAGTAGATCCTTTTTCTCCGTTTCGGTGAGGATCTCCTTTAAGATATCAAGACGATCAAGATCTAGAATATTCTGGTTTTTTAGTTCCTTCAATAACGAGCGAGCATCATCAATAAGGCCTTCACTTTCTTCAGATAACTTTCCTCTGCAAATTGAGACGAGCCGTTCCAGATCATTGAGTTCGTCGAGCACACGAATTATCTCCTTGAGCAAGGCGTTGTATTCTTTCCGTTTGTTCTCGAGTCTTTTCACTTTTCCAAAAAGAGGCCATTCTCTGACACCTTTTAAAAGCTCTTTGATAACCACCAGATTATCAATTTCGAGACTTTGCTGATCTTCCAATTCCTTAAATAACGATAGCGTATCCTGAATGTTGCCTTCGCTTCCAGATGACAGATACTTTCGACACGCGAACAGAAGACGATGGATTGGATAGAGCTCGTCGAGTTTTTCACTTATTTCACACAGTAAATAACTATATTCTATGGCAGACATGTCTTGTGTGGATCACTCCTCACTTAGAGCAAGCTACGCTATTTTATATTTCAAGACCCGTTCGCACGCTCTATTCCACCGATCACGCACGTCGAAATTTCCTAGGAAACAGCATTTGCACAATGCCTAAATCCATTTCGGTCCCAGCCTCTCATGAGCAAATTCATTGAGGAAAGATGTCAAGTTCCGACGAAAGTTGCGGGTAATGCTATCGTGACTCGATGTCTACCCTAATTACAGGATAGCAAGGTCTCAATAAATTTTTCAATCAAGTCACACCATTTCATTTTTCTACGTTAAGTTGAAATGCACTTTGGGAATTTGAAACCCATGTTAAGACTGCCGCAAACGAAATTTGCAGATAACGAAGCAATGAAAAATTTTATTTTCTGAATTAACCGCCGCGAATTTTAAAGTAGCAGGAAGATTGATGCAGTGGTAAGGATATTTTTGTTGAATCGCCCCACTTATTTTGCAAACAGTATCGATTTTCTCCTTCTAGTTGAATTTTTGTTGACAAGCCTGCAATATGCATCAATCATATCAAACTCATGGGGTACAAATAGTCTTAACATTTATGTGGTGACCACGCCCACTTCAACACCCCACTCAAATCGAGTGTAATTTTCGAATGTTTTACCATCGTGCGGATTCTCTACGGAAAAAGCACTCAATGTACCTCTGAAATATTAAACTATAATATTGTGGCTTTCTATTTCGCTAATTTTCTAACTTGAAGGTAAAGTTTTTTCTCGTCATTTTTACCTTTTCTCCGAGCGGTTGCGTGAAATTAACAAAGCGTTTTTGAGCAAAACACGACCGAGGGAAGGGTCTCGGGCGATATCTCTTTTGCGCAAATGCAAATTTAAAATGTACTGCCAGAATCAAAAAGAGGAACAAATTTCCTTTCTTTTGATATGTAAAGTGTCGAACAAAAGCAGATTTACCCTCGTCAAATGGCGTTTCAAAACAGCTGTATCTTCCTCCTTTTGATTTTTTCCTGTTTTTTAAGCGTGAAAGCAGCAGGAGAGGGATCGGGAAACTCAGAAAGCGCTTCGGGAATGAATCTGCCATCGTTTATTTACGAGATAAACAAGTAAGATTTGTGAAGTTCGTTGAATTATGAAGTCTAAATAAATGCCTTTTTTAAGCTTGTTTGCTGGATTTTTCGTAAATTTCCCTTATTAATTTTTCGTTTCAGCTTACTAATCTATACTATTTCAAAGCAATGTAAAGACGAAGACGGAGAACCATGAGTCGTTCCTTTCAACAATCGTAAACAAAGTGTTTGAGCAATCAGATGTACGAGGTGTAATAATCAATAGCGGCATATCAGAAGTCTTCAGAAAGAAAGTATTCTGTCTTCAGAAAGCTGTCAAGAAAGCTAGTAATCGTGGCGGAAGGTAACTAAATGCACTTCTTAGCAAGTTGGAAATGGGCCCTCGGTATCGATTTAATATCATATCGATCTCAATATCATACAGTTTTGTATCTTTCTTCTGTGGATTCGCCTTTCTAACGAGGGTGTATGTTGAGTATTCATTGCAAAATCGCTTTGTTTTTTTTTTATTTTCCTCTTTGGCCTGTCCGCCATTTTGAAAATTCGTAACGGAGAGCATGTGCATTACGTGGGGTTAGTGGTTGCGTACACCTGGAACCGAGAAACACAAATGTTCGTCGCACTGGGGAAAGAGTTTGATATGCTTCGGTCTTTTTCGATGACAAAATGGCGAGAAAGAAGCAAACATCAGATACCTGAAGGCAAAGTGAATCAGACAAAGGTTACCACAAAGTTGGAAATATTAGCGACGTTAATGATGACATTGGAAGCTTCATCATCGTCTCGAGATCTTTTTGCGCAGACTAGCGGAAAGGTTCAGCCGGTATTCCGGTGTTGCGGTGTAGCCTTATGTCCTAAATCACAAAGCGTCTGTTTAAAGGGGTCTTAAAAGGCAAGGCTAAACTATGACACACAGTCTGATCAAAGTGCAAAATGTTGTAAAAGGTATTAAAAAGTATTGAGAAGCGTTTCAAGAATTCTACTTCTGTTTACCTTTACTTCTGTTAGTCTGCCTGAACAAGAAAAGCTTAGAGTTTTAACATAAAAGAATGATTTAAAATACTGAAATAGCTACTCTTTTACCACTATCTGTAACAAGAAGCTGTAAAATTAACCCCCAATTTCCTCGCTTTCCCTTCGGTTAATTTTTTTTCTCGAAAGTGGCCGGGCTTATTCCTAACCCACTACAGTTCCTATTATATAACCTGATTTTGTGTAAATCTGTCAGAGCTAATCAAACATATTTAGAAAAATGAAAAAAAGAGAATATTGGTAAAACCAAAAGTCATACACGCATAGTAAAAGAACTCAAATTTTCCTAGAGAGCGACTTGATAAAATATTTCAAAACCGAGGAGCACTAACAATGGTGGTATAGAGAGTAACGAAAGGAAGAAGGCATGCAATAACAAAGAACGCTGGGAAACAACAAAGACAGCGTGGCAAAAGGAGGAGAGTGAAGGAAGGTTGAATGCATAAGTCTCATGGAAGTAATTACAATACCTCAGTTGAATTCAACTTGTTTGAAAAGAATTGTCATCATTTTGCTTTTGAAGCCTCTATGGAAACCAATTTAATTTGAGGTTAAAGGGTTACTCTACCGCAATCACAATATTCGTGATCAGTAGACTAAAAAAAAAATGAACCTTAGTTAAATTACGTTTTTAAATCTCTTTCCAGGAACTACTGCCTTTTCTGCAGCTACTAATCTGCACAACAATAAATGCTAACAAAACTCTGAGTCACTTAAGTCATTTTCTACAGAATATTGTTGTCACATTGTTACAAAAATTCTAATTAACACATCTAAACTAGTCTGTAAAGCTGAATTTTGCATCATAATCTGTTCTATATTAAAATACTTGGTATTTTAATATAGTTATCTGAATTATTATTTGTATTGATCAGCTTTGGATGCTCGGTTACACCGTGTAATAAATGTCAGCTTTATGAATTTTGTACCCACCCACCCACCTTCCAACCTAGAAAGCTATCGATCAACATTTCACTTATAAAAGGCGACCTCTATAGATACTAATGGTTTTTTCTTTTTTTTTTCTTGGAGACGCAACGTAGCGGGCAAAGCGTCGAAGACGACGAAAGATGTAAATGCCAGTAGAGGGAAAAATATCTTGCGTGTACGCATGTTCGAGTTCTTTCGAGTTTCACGTTATGATACCTCTGCAACTCTACCGCTCAGCTCTAAGTAAGAGATACAATTAACTCGATCAAACCACCGAGAGGAAAATCATAAAAGAAACGTTTTGAAAATTTTCCCTTGAAAAGATATTCAGGTATATTCCTTTCCTAGGTTTCATTCGTCGTGCATTTAAATTTTTAGCATTTCCTTCCTAATATAGGAAAAAAATTGAATAACCCTGACACTTGAAAACAAGAAAAATACAACTATGGGATGGCTCGTAATATCGTAATATTCTGCTAGGAACAAGTATTTATTTATCACCAAAATCCTCCGGATGGTCAGCGGATGAGCGGTCCCTCAATGTACCTTCTTAGTTTTTGATAATGTTTCTTGTTTCAAATATAATAATAACGAACGGAATCTCATGTCATATCCTGATGATTATTTTGTGGGTCAGTTTCTCAGCTGCTGTTGTTTCGTATCCTTCAAACTGCTCCTAAATGTGTGAGCCTCGAGGTTTGTTTCTTTTGTGTTTCAAACCTTGATATAATGAACTGTTTCAAACAGTTGATACTCTGTCATGCTCAGAAAGAGGTTTACAACTAACCTTTATTCTGAATCCAGTTGTCCATTGTAGATGTTATGATCGTCTTAGTCTCCTTATTCTCTTTCAGTTGTTCCTCCACAAGCAGTTTGTTCTTCCTCATTTTCTCTCTGAGTTCTGCGACATTGTACTTGACTCTCAAAAGTTCATGCGTAGGAAGAAGCAAATCCAATTTCAATTCCTTTTCCAACAGAACAGGTTTATTCACCAGTACTTGCTTCATTTTCAAATCATTCAGTGCCCTGCGGTTTTTCTCTGAGCGAGAAGATCCAATTACTGTGACATCGTTCCGCGAATTTAATTCTTCGAAAAATCCCTCAATCTTTTGATTGAGGTCCTTTTTCGCATTGTCATTCTGTACCAGTACTACCACATTGTTTTGAAACGTTGTGGGAAGATTACCAGCGCGTAACGTCTCGACTTCTCCTGAGGAAAGAACAGGACGAAGTGAAATTGGTTTTACCGCCTTCTCAAGAAAGTCAACAAGATCGTACAATTGAAGAGCCTCGAAACATTGCCTTATTAGGTCAACAGGAGTGTTAGGAGAACTTTTTGCAATTTGCTTCGTAAGAAAAACATAACCTTGTTATGGGAGGAATGTAGCCCATTTCACCGCAAAAATATCGAAAAACCGTTTCCAACCCAACTTTATCAACAGAAAGTCTCCTATCCAGTTCGTAAAAAGACTCTTCCGTCAGATTTTGAACGCAAAATGTACTGGAATCTGAATAAAGTTAATAGGAGAAATTGAACGATTAGAAATATTTGATGACAGTTATATTTCTCCAAAAAGGCCACCTTTCTGACCATGAGAAGCGACCTTTGTAGAGAGAATGTTGTCATAGCGAGATAGGGGTATAATGTAACATATATTTTTTCTTTATTTGGACATTTTTTTAACAACATTGGTACAAAAATGAGTAAAACTGTCAAATGTATCAAAACAAAACAGTAAAATGATTTTGGGCGAAAAATGTTAAGGGAAAACGAACAATGAAGGGTGACTAAAAGCAGTTTGTAAAACGTTCACCTTTAACACTGGAGACATTTGTGTTTCCCTTGAGCGCATTAAAAATGTGAAGGGTTGTCTGCCTCAGTGAATAGCCACTAAGTTTAATGTTTGTCCGTCGGTGATTGAATAGCTGTTGTCCCTGTTTGAACGGCCTAAATGGCTGTCGACGTGGTGGAAAGGAG